GTTAAAAAACGACCGAAAGATTTGCACGGTCGTAAGCGCGCAAGCAAGTGAACTTAATATAAAGGATTTAATGACTGCATCACGGCCATAAGGTTCATGTATTTGTTTGTCTTGCAGTCGCCAGCGCAACCCGTAATGGATCCGCGTCTGTGCGCTTCCACGGTCGCGCATTGCGAATACAAAACGACGGAGCGATACATTTCGATTTAAAGCTTTCGTGACTGCAGGGATTCATCTTATTGGTTCTTTCGGTAAAGTCACGTAGAATGGAAATAATAAAATAATAAAAATATAAGACAGACCTGTTCTTCACCCGAGGACGGCTGCTTGCGTTGTGGCCGAAACGTCGTGAGAATTATTTAATTATGTTATATTTTTATTATTTTATTAATTCCATTCTACGTGACTTTGCCGAAAGAACCAAGAAGACGGAGCGATAGTCACACACACGCGCACGAGTAGCGGTTCCGTAACTCCATCTCTCCCAGGCGCAGCACTTGAAACAACGGGGGCGAGTTTCTTAAAATCCACCCAGCCCCCTCCCCTTCGCCCCCCCCCCGGCCCCCCAACCGGCCACGATCTGCCACCGCTTTTGTTCCACCAGCATTGAGTATGAATTGTTTTACGGCTGCATCGATCGGGGCAGGTCGCGTGCGGCGTGCTAACGAGTGGGTATTCGACCACGTCTTCCAAGACGGTGTTTTTGTTTTCTTGCTCGTTGGCCGGCGTGGAAGTGAAAAAGTGATTTTGCCTGGCTCAAGAGATAATCCAGCTCTGTTTACATTCTAGAAGCCCCGTGGTGGAAGTGCCTCTCGCCTATGGTACTTAAAACTATACTAAACTATTTATTTTTTTATTTTTGCGCCAGGCAAGACCCGCTGAGCTATGTAGCTATTTATTTCTGAATCGACCTGGCTCTATCACAAATTATAGCTCAACGAAGTGGATTATCATCATCATCATCACCACGTGGAAATGTACAGCAGTTGACTCTAAATCGTGGAGGGAAATACCGGAGGACCCGGGGAAAAATCCATGTGACCACGGGGAGAACGCGCAAACTCCAAATATACAGCAGCAGGCGTCAGGGTCGGGATCGAAACCACGACCTCCTGTACACCAGGCGAGGTAGTTAACATCTCCTAGCCACCGTGATGATGATGATGATGATAGAGAGAAACACGCAAACTCCAAATATACAGCAGCAGGCGTCAGGGTCGGGATCGAAACCACGACCTCCTGTACACCAGGCGAGGTAGTTAACATCTCCTAGTCACCGTGGCGCTCGTTTCATTTACCGGAGGCACGATGGCCTCTCAACTTCCAACCAGGATTTGAACTCGCAACGCTTCCGATTTATAGCCGCTCGCGCTACAGCCCGATATGACTCGCGGTAGCGTGGGAAGAGTAGGCCAAATTGCTTCCTTAGAGGCGCACTGCAGAGTTGCCTATAGTGGAGGCCTCTATCCGCCAGCAGGGACGCGAGCGAGCAATTGCAGGCCCTGCGCCTTTAGCTGTGTACCCTTTTTGTCGTCCGAGTCATTGCTTCGTGATGTCAGTCGAAGCTTCGCCCCCTCCATTGATTTCCCTTTGTACGTTTGACTTTTCAATCTCTCGTCTGTGTGTGTGTGTTCCTGTGTGTGTGTGTTCCTGTGCCTGTGTGTGAAATTCAGTTATTCTCTGTGTGACTGTGCGTGACCCGTATCATAGCCAGGCTCGCGTGGCAGCTGGCTAGCACAATTCTTCCGTCCGCACACAATATAGTTTTGGTTTGAAATGACTTTTAAAAACGATGTTATTTCTTGACGTTTTTTTTTTGCATTTCTCCCCTCTCCATAGAGTTTCTGAACAAAATGAGCCCGAGTCTATGAATAACTTCAACACGTGTGTGTGTGTGTGCCTGGGGCAATTGTTCAAAGTCCGTGCAAGGCTATACGGGGGATCTTTGCCTTTGTTTGGGTGTGTTACATGTGCATGCTTGTCCGTGCAATTACCGCCTATTGTATATGTATGATTATAATAATAATGATGATCGTCTTCCTCTAACCCGCGGCACACCACGAAGGGGAGACGAGTCAAGGATGTAATGCAATGGAGAACAAGAGAAAGAGGGGGACGGAAGAGAGAGAAGTTAAACGAATGAGAGACAGAGAGGGACAGAGAGAGAATGGGGAATACGAGGGAGGGGTGGAGAAGGAACCTAGAAACGGGAGCAGAGCTGCTCAGGAGGAGAGACGAAGAGAGGGAGGAGGAGGAGAAACCCAAGACAGAGAATTTGCGTGGCACCCTTGTGCAGGGGCCATGCTAATCTTATCCGTACCAATTTTAGTAGAAGTACTGCCGGAGCAAGTGCCCAAGACAGGGAGGGTAGGGCACGGCTCAACACCCAACGCAAGAAGATCCCCGTGGTTTTGATCTTTGCCGAAAAAAATCACGGTCCACTCTAAAACCGCATTCACTGCACAAACCGTGGCAGCAGCGGATTGGGATGATACCCCAATGCTGTAACGAATGGAAACGTGAAAAACTCTGCCCCGGGTACGGGTGCGACTGTGGCGGTCTTCCGGAACAGACGGCGGACAACCGCGTAACGACGCAATGCGCCGATCCACAAATACGAAGGAGAAATCACGGCGACGGTGATGCACGATGCCGCTGTTCCTGACGCGGTTGTCTGGCTTGACCACCCGAATGTGGCGTTGTTGTTGTTGTTGTTGCTCTGCATCCACATGGGCCGTGCGGAAGAAGAAGAAGGCTGCGGCTCAAGATGAGCAGCGGGAAGGAGGAAGGAGGAGAAGGAACGACGGGGCCAAGATTTTAGGGATGATGAGAAGGTGGTGGTGGTGGTGGTGATGATTAGAGGGGGGTGATGATTATGATGATGAGAGAGTGATGATGGGGATGAGAGAGTGGTGATGATGATGAGATGGGGGTGATGATGATGAGAGGGTGAAGATGATGATGAGCGAGTGGTGATAGTGATGAGAGAGTGGTTATGATGACGAGAGAGTGGTTATGATGATGAGAGGGTGGTGATGATGATGAGAGTGGGGTGATGATGATGAGATCGTGGTGATGATGATGAGAGGGGGGTGATGATGATGAGAGAGTGGTTATGATGATGAGAGGGGGTGATGATGATGAGAGTGGGGTGATGATGATGAGATCGTGGTGATGATGATGAGAGGGGGGTGATGATGATGAGAGAGTGGTTATGGTGATGAGAGAGTGGCGATGATGATGAGATGGGGGTGATGATGATGAGAGGGTGAAGATGATGATGAGCGAGTGGTGATGGTGATGAGAGAGTGGTTATGATGATGAGAGAGTGGTTATGATGATGAGAGGGGGGTGATGATGATGAGAGGGTGAAGATGATGATGAGATCGTGGTGATGATAATGAGAGGGGGGTGATGATGATAGAGTGGTTATGATAATGAGAGAGGGGTGATGATGATGATGAGAGGGTGAAGATGATGATGAGCGAGTGTTGATGGTGATGAGAGGGTGAAGATGATGATGAGCGAGTGGTGATGAGAGAGTGGTTATGATGATGAGCAGGGAAGAGAGTGAGCGAGAAGGGAGAATGAAGGAGCGAGAGAATGTGAGCTGCACGATGGAGCGTCTTTCTTCACAGTGAGCGGCCAGGGAGATGTAAATGGATTCAGATTGGCGGGGGGCGGGGGGCGGGGGCGCGGGGGCTACAGAAAAGTCACGTGATTTACGGAAGGCTTGAGCTGATTTAAATAACAATATCACCACTGTGCGATGATTATGATGATTATCACGTGCGAAAAGGCTTCGGCGAGTCTCTGGGACGTCTTTTAAATGAGGGTTCCCCGTCACGTGCTCGCATCCCTTTCCACGAAGACGTTTCGCCAGCCCCAGGAGGGAGCCTCTGTGGGGGAAGAGCGAGCGAGTTTCTCGAGCCCTGGTCGGGTGTCAAACTCAGCCGTGCATCCCTCGCTGGCCCTCTTCATTCGGCGGAGTGGCGTCTCCCACGCTCCCACACTTACACCCCCCGCCACACGCGAAATGACCACGTTGATAATTGTGGTGCGGCTACCCATGTAATGACATTTGTTTAAAAAAAACACGGGCTTTGTAGCTCATCGGATTCCTCGAGTATAAATAAATGTTATGATTCTGATGCATGTCGGCTGGGTGGAGAGAGAGAGGAGGGGGGTGGGTGGAAGGTAAAGGCGTTTGGGGGAGGCAGGTAGTAGGCATGACCGCAACGGGAGGAGGTATTCAGGATGACATCTTCACAATTCTGGCTAATCGCCTGATGAAGCTGTCTGTAATCACCAGCGAAACGTCGTACTCGAGTTGTACGTGTTGTGGGTTCACTCTCACAACGCTCAGGTGTGCAGAAATAGCAACAATTCATTCTGCACGTTCTTGTTTACGTGATACACACTACTAATTAGCCGTATAGGATGGAGGCGGGTTTAACGACACGTTCATATTTACGCGATCTAACCAATATATTGTGTAGAGATAATATTGTTTCGCGAAAGCTTACGTGTTAAACAGGCATGCATACAGGTAGGTAGGCAGGGGAGGGGGTGTATATACAGGAAGGTAGGTGAGCAGGTACGCAGGCAGGCAGGCAGGCAGATAGACATTTGTATGAGTATAGGTAGGCATGCGCACAATGAACAGGGTGCTTCAAAAAAATGTGAACACTTCGGAGAATTTGCAACAACCACGAGAAATGCGCCTCGGGGCTTTGGAGACCACCTGGAGAAGATTTCAGGCACGCGTTGATGATGATGGCGAACAAGCGGAAATACCCTTTGACTTTTTGAAGCTAATAACATTACATTTGTTATCACGTTGCAGCGTATTATCCGTTCTTTGTCCATTAAAAACGAAAGTCCCATTTCAGTGCCAACATTTGTTTGGAAGCAGCCTGTATATGTAGGAAGGTATCTGGATAGGTAGGTAGGTGGACGACCATACAGGTAGCTAGACAGACAAATACATAAACACCCACCGGGCAGAGACACGCGGAGCACTATGGAGGGCTGGGAGCCGACGGGCCCCGCGGCGAACAGCGAGACCCCGAGACGAAGGGCGACCGGAGGCTCCCTGCCCCGGGCACCGCGTGCCCAACGCCGCAGATGCCGGGCCACGTCTCGAGCCAGGACGCCCGACCCGCGGGGCCCGCACGCCGCGTCCACCTCGTGCCGCGGGAACGAGAGGTCGAGGTCGAGACCCGGAGTCGATCCGTTACGACCTTCCCCGAGGGTCGACTCTCCGGTCAGGTCGTGAAGCAAGGCCGTGCCGGCTAGCGGAGACCTCCAAACGTATGATGATGATGATGACGATGCTGCTGATGATGATGCTGCTGATGCTGATGATGATGCTGCTGATGCTGCTGCTGATGGTGATAATGTTGTTATTGTTGATGATGCTGCTGCTGATGCTGCTGCTGATGATGCTGTTGATGCTGCTGCTGCTGATGATAATGATGTTGTTATTGTTGATGATGCTGCTGCTGCTGATGCTGCCGCTGATGATAATGATGCTGCTGATGCTGCTGCTGCTGATGATGATGCTGCCGATGATGACGCTGCTGATGATGATGTTGTTGCTGATGATGATGACGGGCAGCTGATTGCGAGCTGAGCCGCAATGAGCTCGGACGCATCTGCCGCAAGGCGATCGCGCAGTTCCGCGGAAACGGTGAACTCCATCGCCATCGTCACCATCAGCGAGTCGCCACTGATGCCATCACCGCCGGCATTCGACAGCGATGACGACTTTGACGATGCTGAAGATGATGTTGCTGCTCCTGCTGACGCTGCTGATGCTGCTGCTGTTGATGTCCTTGACGCAGACGACGGTGATGATGGTGACGGCGCTGTTGCTGGTGCCTCCGACGACGCTGCTGCTGCTGATGATGATGTTGATACTGTTGCTGCTGTTGCTGCTGCCGATGATGATGAGTGGGGAGCAGCGGTGTAGTCGAGACTAACGAAACTGCGGGCCACGAGGAGTTGCGCGCAAAGGCACGCGCATCCGAAGAAGAGTCGCACAGAACCCATCGTCCCTCCTTCGCCTCTTCCCGTCGTCATCTTCATCATCCTCCACCACCTCCTCCTCGTCGTCGTCAATGCGTCCGAGACCACCGAGGCTCGCGGAGCTTGCAGTTCGATACCCGGCCGAGGTCGGTTTAGGCGCGTGTGGGTGTGTGCGTGTAGGTGTGTGCGTGTGTGTGTACGCGTGTGTGTACGCGCGTGTGTGTCTGTGTACGCGTGTGTGTGTACGCGTGTGTGTGTGTGCGCGTGTGTGAAAATCAATATGTAACAGGCGTGTGTGTGTGAGGTGCTCGCTAACAGCACTTGCCCCTACAGTCTTTTAAGGGTATACGGGGGATCTATGTATGCGTGAGTGTATGTGCGCATGTGTGTGCGTGTGTGTGTGCGTGTGTGTGCGCGTGTTTGCGTGTGCCCCCGACCGCGTCGCACAAGTCCGTAGGCGAACGATAAAACTCAGGGCGTTCGTCAATGACGCTCTTGCTTGCGGCTTTGCAAAATGGAAAGTCTATATGTAACAGGCGACGTTTCGGGCACTGGCCCTTCTGTATCGCGCATACATGCAATGTTTTATAAGATTGTTGCTCTACCCCCCCACCATCCTATAAGAAGGAATGTTTAGCGCTGAGCTGCGATTTTGAGTGGTTGCTGCTGCTGTTGTTGCTACAGGTGGCGTTGCTTAATGACTCAGCGTTGACTAATTAACTCATTAATTGGTGCGTCATGCTTTGAAATCGATCTGTTTTACATAAAATGTTAAAATCGTGGTTTTCTGAACGCATTCGCCCGAAACTGGTCTCAAAAACGCCAAGCGGTCAGCAACAAACGTCGCTGCCAAATTGTGCAATATAAGGCAGGATTGTGTTAAGATGTTTAGATGTAAGATATATCGATTCGTTAAGTAAGGAAATGCTGATGGTGATTGTGATTAAGTTATTGTCGGTGTCGTGTGTTGTGTTATTGTTGCTGTGTTGTTGTGGGTGTGTTGTTGTGTTGTTGTGTTGCTATTGTTGTGTTGTTTGTTGTTGTTGTGTTGTTTTGCTTAAGACAATGGGAAGCTGGCACGTTGACCCACGCAGGAACCTCCTGCGGGGCAGTCTTGAGACTCGGGCAAATCTTTCGTTGAGTCGCACAACACGAATGCTATCATTATGATCACCAAATATTTATCGATATTCACTTAAGCATTTATTTTAATTAATAACAGGGAACTAGGCCTGCTGTCATCATCATCATCCGTAATGATGATATTAATCGATTAATGATAATGATCATCATCGCCCCTCCGATACAGCTGCGACGCTAACACGTGTGCCACGGTGACGATGTCGATCGGCGCTGCTCCGCACGGAACATAAAACCAGAACGCCACTCAAGAAGACGACATCACCTTGCTCGCCCAAAGTGACGCTGATGGCGATGCTGCTGCTGCTGCTGCTGGTGGTGGTGCTGCTGCTGCTGGTGGTGGTGGTGCCGCTGCTGCCGCTGCTGCTGATGGAGACCACCGGGTCACGCGTGTCATCGTCTCGGCGCTGAAAACGCAAATAGTCCCAGAGTCGCACCTGCAGGTTGTCCCACGCGACGCTTCTGTAGCTCACGCCTTTCTACCCCCTCCTCCTCCTCTCTCCTCCCTCCTCTTCCCCCCTCCTCTTCCCTTCTCCCCTCCTCCTCCTCCCTCCCCCCCTCCTCCTCCGCCCTCCTCGACTTCCTCACTCCCCACGTCTGTCCCGACCTCCTCACTCCCTCCGTCTGTCCCTCCCTCCCTTCGTCCTCCCTACCTCCCTCCCACCAATTGACCATTAATTATTTACACACACACGCGCACACGGTCAAAGTCACACACGCGCACACAGTCCCATGCGCGCACACGAATGCGCGCGCACGCAGTCACGCGGAGGCACACACGCACACACACAGTCATGGCCACGCACATACGGTCATGGCCACACGCACACACACACGATCATCGTCACACACACGCACGCAGACAAGACAAAGATCACCCCCCCCCCCTCCCCCCGTCTTGTCTGAACGCACTTTTGTGGCAAGTGCTGTTAGCGAGCAACGCCTATGAAAGCCGGCACGGCACACGTGGGGGTGGGTGGCCAACACCACGTCCGGTCGCCTTTGTCTCCCTCGTGGCGATGTTTACACATCGCACCAGGTACTAATTTGTGGCTGAGTCGACCTAGTGGAGGCCCAGGACCGGTTCAGATATAATCGTCACCGGTGTTGGCCGTGAGCGGGAATCGAACTCGGGTCGCCGGGTTCGCAGCACAGCGCGCTAACCGCTACACACACACACGCACTCGCGTACGCACAGACGGGCGAATGTCGGCTTTTGTGGAGTGTTATGGGTCTGTGTGTGTGTGTTAGTATGTATACGTGGGAGTGTATGGGTCTGTATGTGTGTTGGTGTGTATACGTGGGAGTGTATGGGTCTGTGTGTGTGTGTTGGTCTGAATGTGTGTATGTGTGAGTGTATGGGTCTGTATGTGTGTTGGTCTGAATGTGTGTATGTGTGAGTGTATGGGTCTGTATGTGTGTTGGTCTGAATGTGTGTATGTGTGAGTGTATGGGTCTGAATGTGTGTGTGTGTATGTGTGAGTGTATGGGTCTGAATGTGTGTTGGTCTGAATGTGTGAGTGTATGTATGTGTGTATGTGTGAGTGTATGGGTCTGAATGTGTGTGTGTGTGTGTATGTGTGAGTGTATGGGTCTGAATGTGTGTGTGTGTGTGTATGTGTGCGAGTGTGTGCGTGAGTTGTTTCACGTGGAGTGCCGCAGTAAACCCTCGTGTTGACACGGATACGGGTCAGTTCCGGGATCGCGTTTCCATTGAATTACTCCCTCCGTGTCACCACACCACAACCATCACAATCATCATCATCACAACAGCAATCACAACAATCACAACCATCGCACAACCACCTTACAAACCATCCTCACCAACCACAAGCACCTATTTGATGCTTGCGCACCACTCCGGTTAAAGTACACATTTTCGGCTGAGATGACGTAGAGGCGTCCCATGTCCCAGGACCGGTGTTGGCCGTGAGCCGAAATCGAACCTCGGGTCGCCGGGTTCGTAGCGCAGTGGTAGCGCTAACCGCTGCACCACCGCTCACTCACTCTCTCTTTCGTGCGCTCTTCCATGTGAGTGGAGTCGTAAAATGCGACACGAGCTACGCGCGGAGATGAAGGCGAGAGGGGCTTGAAAGATTACAGTTTTTTTTATTTCAAACAAATCGGATTGGAATTGTGAGGTCAAGAGACAGAGTGCGAGAGAGAGAGGTCGATAGGCACGCAGAGGGAGACACGAGAGATAGGGAAAAACAGATAAAAAAAAAGCAATAGACAGTGGACAGATAAATAAGAGACAGAAGAGGCCGGAAAGAGACTTTGACTTTTAAGCAACTTTTATTGCCGCCAGCAGTAATAGCACTGGAGGCGATTTAGATATGAAATACACAGTCACCAGCAAACAAATGAAACTAAACGTTACAAATCCACGCGCTGTGGCGCTAAAAGCACCGCACACAACACGAAAGAAAAGTCACGTGGTTGTGGTGGTGGTCATCGCGCACGCCACGGTGACGAGCGAGCACTTCAGAAGGTGAACACGAGGGTGTCGTCCACGCTGGTACAGAGAGAGAGATCGAGATGGATAAGAGAGACAGAGTTGCAGAGAGAAGAGATATAGATAGTATACAGACAGACAAAGATAAATTGAGATTTTAACACGTAGGCTTTCGCGACCAATATTATTAAAAATAAAGTTTTTTTGGGGTTCGATCGCGTAAGTATAAATGTGTCGTAATCCTCCACCACCCGACACAGCCAATTAGCAAGGGATTTGTCACGTAAACAAAACGTCAAATAGTTGCTGCTTCAGCCCCCGGTGTGTTGGAGAGTAAATCCACAACATTTACAATTTGAGTAGTAAGACGTTTCGGGGAAAATCGCCCGATGATGCTGGATTTGCATGGCTGATGATGATGGTAATGACGGCGATGATGATGATGATGATGAAATTCCCAATCATATTTCGCGAGTCGCGGAGTTCCAAGTAGGGGAGGGGGGGGGGGGACACACTCACCTTGAAGGACCTATCCAGGAGTTAGGGGCTCCCCCAAAACATTTTGTTTGTAAAGTATTCCGTCAATTCAGCAAAATGCGTGGTTGTCATTTATTCATGTTAGAAGGATATGAACGCGTGCGCGTGTGCATTCATGCCAGCCTGCGTGCAAAACACAAAACAAAGCGTACACAGACACACGTACAACGAAGACAAAGCAACCCCCACCGCTGACACACACACACAAACAACGCAGTCTGAATTGAAAATCAAAATTGCAATCTCAGACGCCGGAACGCAAATGTTGCGAGACAGCTGCCAGCATAATTTATTGCGGGGCTGTCCGAGCGCGCCTGTGTGTGTGTGTGTGCGCGTGATGGCACATCAGTGCTTGGCAGCCGTTTCGAATGTCAGCCAAGGAGCAGTGGGTTTAAAGTAAGTGACAGGCGGAAATCCGACAAAGGTCCCACACCGTGGTCCGTTCGAATCACACGAATTTTTTAGTTTTTATCGCAGCATGAATCCGATGAGCTACGAAGCTCAATGTTTTTTTTTTTCACAGACATTCAGCAGGAGCGGGTAAGAATGTTATGACAATAAAAAAAAACATTGTAGGAGTGCAGAGTATAGGAAAGTTAACACAAAAAACATCACTAAAAATATATATACAAGTAAAACTAAACTATAGAGTTTTTCTTCTTGGGTCTTTCGGTAAAGTCACGTAGAATGGCCGAAACGTCGTGAGAATTATTGTATTATGTTTTATTTTTATTATTTTATTATTTCCATTCTACGTGACTTTACCGAAAGAACCAAGAAGATGAATTCCTGCAGTCACGAAAGCTTTAAATCGAAATTAATAGATTTTTTTTTATCCTGCCATGCAAAGCCCACGGAGGTATTAACTTATTTTCCAGAAGCGACCTGGCCACAAATGATAGCTCAACAAAGTGGCCCATCATGTGGCAATTTATAGCAGCAAAACAATCTTAATAATCTCAATGCACGTTTCTAAATGTGGAGGGGAAAACCGGAGGACCCGGAAATTAAAAAAAAAATATCCACGCGACCACGGTGGGAGAGAGAGAGAGAGAGACGCGAGTTCCCAATATACAACAGGCGTGAGGGTTGGGATCGAACCCCCGACCTCCTGCATACCGGGCGAGGAAGTTAACATCACACGACCTTTATGAATGCGCAGCCCCTGTAATTGCTCAGCAACTAGAGCGCCGTATGGCCGCGAGAGTGGAGCTTCAGACGTTGGGATATTTGACCATGAATTTTCCCTTAATGAGAGGTTTGGCTTTGTGTGTGTGGGAGGAGGAGAATATCAAAGACCCTGCTGAACAGTAAGTAGAATAGACGAGTTCCTGAAAAAATCCGCGCTCGGCGACAAACGCGTTAAGCGAAAACAATTTCTAAATAAATAACGTCATAATAACGATGAAGTTCGGCGAGATACGATGTACTACTACGCACACGCACGGTGAGATGGCGCTACAAATGACCGAGCGTACGCGGCCGCGTTACTGTATCATTCCGAGTACTGAATCGTACCGCTCAGCCGCGCAGGTCAAGAAAGTAGTTCGTCGTCGACCGCTCAGTAACCGCGTTATAACGGCGCGCGTTCCCCGTTATAACTGGCGCGTTATGGCGAAAACGCGTTGTGCGAACACGCGTTAAGCGAGGACTTACCCTATTCAGTGGGGCGGGTGACAGACACTCAGCACCGTCGTCACATCGTGCTTGCTGCGCTGCCCGCCACTGGCCACCACCTTACAGGGCTCGCAGCGAGTTATGAAAGTTTCACAAACGTCGACCGTGATCCACCAAACCCCTTGTCTGCAGAGCCCGAGAAGAGACGGCGCGTGCGTGCGCCACGAGACCGCCGGTGCCGGGACCCGGTCTCAAAGGCCGGACACACAAGGCGACGTACGCGCGCGGAAGCTCCCAGCCCGTGCAGCGAAACGTCGGACACCGTGCCGAACAACACGTGGGAGAGCTTTGTCGTGAGTTTTGTCCAACATTTTGCAGGCGTCTCTTAGCCATTTAAAAAAAAACGAAATCCGGAAACTCATGACCCCCAACTTGGCTGTGCCCCCCCCCCCTAGAGCCAAGAGTTGGGGTCGGGTCGAGAGTTCATGTCCTGCGAGCGCTCCCTGCTGCATGCCTCTGCGTCTCTCCCCGTCTCCCTTCTCTCTCTCTCCTCGTCCTCCGTCCCCTTGTCTCTCCACGTCCCCTTGTCTCTCCACGTCCCCTGTCTCTCCACGTCCCCTGTCTCGTCCCTGCCTCCGTCTCTCCCCGTCTCCACTCTCTCTCTCTCTCCTCGTCCCCTGTCTCTTCCCGTCCCCTGTCTCTTCCCTGCCTCCGTCTCTCCCCGTCTCCCTTCTCTCTCCTCGTCCCCTGTCCCCTTGTCTCTCCACGTCCCCTGTCTCTTCCCGTTCCCTGTCTCTTCCCTGCCTCCGTCTCTCCCAGTCTCTCCGGGGAGACTCGAGGAGGCGGGGGCGACAATTCGGAAACGCTCGGGCGGCGTTCCGCGGATTGGGATGAATATTTGATGTCTTAAAAGGTGCAGCATCCGGGGGAAGCTGTTTGCCACATCCGTCGTGTCTGTGCGTTTGTGTGTTTGTTGTTTTTGTCCCGTTGTTGTCTACGTTGTCGTTGTTGTTTGTTGCTGATTTCACAAAAATAAGTGATGATGACTTTGGACCCGAATGTCGCTTTCTGTATATTTTTTTTGTCTTGGTGCGTTGCGCTTTCCCGCACAGGCAAACACACCTGTCAACCCCTTATCAGTGCCGACCTTATTACAGACCAATTAAGACCTTATTGGCCACCCCGTGTCCTTATGAATCTCAACGTGCTTCCTACAAAGCCCCATCACAAGGGAGATACGTAAACAAAGAGTCACATTTTTTTGTGCCCGTATTGAAACGGCTGTACGCCGTACGGCCCTGAAAACCCAATTTACCTGTACAAGAATACGGAGTAAACCGTATGGGTTGACAGCTTTGGGTAAAACGCGTTAACGCACGGAGGACAAGCTTCCATTTGCGGGGGGTCCCCTCGGCTAGAAGACAATTTGCTACAGTTACGGGCTCGATATGCATGCGAGTGTTATCGCTTTGTACGTATGTATGTTGAACTTCTTTCGCACCGTACGTAGCCAAACGTGCAAATCGGAGGTTGCCGGGGAAGGACAACAAACTGAACACGAAAAGCAGTTTGTTTGTAATTCTGTCTCAAATATTGGACACTTTGCCAACGGTCGTGGAGATGATCTGATCCGAATTTAACTTTAGTGTCGAGTTGTGTTGCCCGTAGGGTCTCGCCTGATAGAAAATTTCAAAGATTACACTCGTAATATTAAAAAAGTCCTAAATTCATTTCAAAAGATATATAATGCATTGATGGTTATGGGAGTCAATTTAAACGTTCATTTAAATATATTTAATAGCCATATTTGATTTGCTAAAATAAATACAATAACCCTATGTGTTCTGACATTTAGGCCACCCTGTATACAAATAATAATAATCACACTCTTAGGTTTTTTTTCGGTAAAGTCACGTAGGTGAAAAATAAATAATATAAATAAATAATATTTTTTACCTAATTTTTACCTACGTGACTTTACCGAAAAAACCTAAGAGTATGAATCCTTGCAGTCACGAAAGCTTAAAATCTAGAAATAATAATCACACCACCAGTTCATAGAGAATGCTGTGCAACAGTGCATGAATCACCCTATCATGAATAGCAGCAGTCATTAACTACTAAATAAAAAAATCTTAATTCTCTATCACCTCCTGGATAAATTATCAGCATCAGCAATTGTTAACTAATGATGACAATAGGTAGTAATAATAATACATTTAAAAGCAATGTGCGCCTGGAAGACTGATGCTATCCTCTTTTTTGTTGTTGTTAAAAACTAAAAATAATCTCGATCCTGAGCGACGTCGCTTAAAAACGGCGTTCTCGAAGGGCTAAAGAGCTGAACGTTGGCACGAGTCTGTTGCTTGGAACTCAAATAAATAACAAAACTGCATTCATCGAACTTGGGACACCCCCCCCCCCCCCCACCATCATGCACATAAATTACGGCGTGGAGGTTAAACCGCTTGAACTATGGGGTCAGGAACATCTCAATTATTCATAACAGAGGCTTTTTTGGTTATATCGCGTAAATATAAACTGGCCACCTACCACCCGCCACAACCAATTAGTAGATGAGTCGCGTGAACAGAACGTGTGTGTTGGAGAGTAAATCCACAACATTTACATGTACTCTTTGGTTCTTTCGGTATAGTCACGTAGCTAGAAAAAGAATAGATCACGACGTTTCGATCGCAACACAAGCAATCGTCTTGCTGTGGTTGTCCCACCTGATGACGATTGCTTGTGTTGCGATCGAAACGTCGTGATCTATTATTTTTCTACCTACGTGACTTTACCGAAAGAACCAAAGAGTATGGATTCCTGCAGTCACGAAAGCTTCAAATCAACATTTACATGTGTTTAGGGTGTTGGCGGGTTTTGACGACACATTCATATTTACGCGATCGAACCCCCAAATCTCTATTATTGATAACATTGGTCGCGAAAGCCCGACTGCGTGTTCATCTCAACGGTCATGAATCGGTTCATAAAATGAATCGCACCTCCACCTGGCTTTGACATTCCTCCTCCTCCTCGAAGACACCGGCGGTGTAACCATCAACAGCATCGGAACGTCTTCGACAAGCCGATGCTGCGCCGCAGATCATTTACGATATGAACACTCCATACAGACACAAGCCACGTGAGTGCGATCTTGGCCCGTGTCACCGAAACTATGGGACCATATCGTTGACCAAATAGAGACCCGTAGATTTGCACAGAGACTCACGGAAATAAATAGAGTTACATCGAGGACAAGCTGTAGCAGGAAGGTGATCAATACAAGCTGTGGCCCACACAGTCAACCCACTGCGGTTTGCGCTCTCCTTCAACGGGGGAGGAGGAACAGCAGCCACACGACACGAACTCTGGCTGCAGAGTTTGGTAGTACATGTTGTTTAAGTCGTTTATTGTGAAAAATCGGTCACAGTTCCTATGACGACTGTCTCATTGCTTTTATGGCTTTATTTTGGTGATTTTCGAAAAGTTGTTTGGTTTGGCCATGTTTGTTTGTTGTAATACAGAGTTAGACTGATGGCCTTAATCTAAGTTGTCTTGTGGTTGTTGTTGTTGTTTGACTTGCATTCCACTGGGATATTTGCACAGGGTTGGTGTACGGTGAGTTTTTCTGCAATATTTTTCTGTCTTTTCTTGGATTTTCTGTTTGCACATAGTCTCTTTAAGATGTTTTCTTGTTCATGTTTTTGTTTTTTTGTTTGTTGCGGTTGCACCCGATTCAAGAGCCGAATAGCTCACAGGGCTATTCCTAATAAATTAACTTTGAACTCAGTCTGTGTCCGCCGCCGCCGTCTCGTCGTGGCAGCAGCAGCAACAGCACCTCGACATTGGGCATCGAGCTCTTGAACTTATCGCGGCCACGCTCAAGAAAACAAAGAGAAAAACCGCCGTACGCAGCCGGTAACATCACCACGCACTTTGGTTCAACACTGGTGGGGTGGGTGGGTGAGCTTCGTTTGCGCTGCTTGCAATACGCAGTGTGTCCGCCAGAGGGCGCCGCCACACCTGCCTACGCCGATGCGTTCTACCAGGAGCCCGAACGATGTTATTAACCAGGTGATTTGGTGGTGCTGCTGCAGCTGGTGCACAAACAACAACAACGCAACACGGAATGCCGGTATTCAAGCGTGGTGCACTAACCACGGCGCCACCGCTCGGTAAAAAAAAAACGTTAACTAAACTTTTTATAAATTTTACCAGGTAAGGCTCACTGAGCTGCATAGCTCTTTTTGAGAAGCGAACTGGCAACAAATGACGGCTCAACGAAGTTGCCTTATTTTCGTGTGGAAATGTATAGCAACCAAATACTCCAAACGCACGTTTTAAATGTGGAGAGAAAAACGTCGGGACCCGGAGAAAAATCCACGCGACTACGGGAAAAGGAGAGACACGCAGATTCCAAATGTACAGCAGGCGTCACGGCCTGTATCAAACCCACTACCTCTTGTGTACCAGGCGAGGTAGTTGACATCTCGCCACCGCGGTGCCCATATCATAACGCTCTGGATCAATTAAGTTCTGTCTTCTAGATTGGAAGCTTTCGTGACTGCAAGGATTCATATTCTTAGGTTTTTTCGGTAAAGTCACGTAGGTAAAAAATTAAAATTAATAAAAGTAAAATAAAATAAAAAAATAAAAATCACGACGTTTCGGAGGCAACACAAGCTTCCGTCTTCAGGTGGAACCGTTACAGCCCGACAGCTGTATCAAGTGTAGTATACATTAAGGGTTGGACTGTGTCACCTTCTCTCTGGGTTGAGACATAGAGGCAAGAGAGAGGGAGACCGCTGATTATGATGGTGGTTGACGATGGTGCCACCAAGACATGCAGTGTTGGTGGCGAGATGTTAACTACCTCGCCTGGTGTACAGGAGGTCGTGGGTTAGATCCCGACCCTGACGCCTGCTGTATAGTTTTAGTTTGCGTGTCTCTCTCTCCGTGGTCGCGTGGATTTTTCTCCGGGTCCTCCGGTTGTTTCCTTCACATTTAGAATCAACATCATGCGTTTAGAGTATTTGGCTCCTGTAAATTTCCACATGATGGTGATAAGCCACTTCGTTGAGCTATCATTTGTGGCCAGGTCGGTTCTGAAAAAGAGCTGTATAGCTCAGTGGGCCTTACCTGATATAAAATAAAACATAGTTCTTCTTGGTTCTTTCGGTAAAGTCACGTAGAAGGGAAATAATAAAAATAAAACATAATAAAATAATTCTAACGACGTTTCGGCCACAACGCAAGCAGCCGTCCTCAGGTGAAGAACAGGTCTGTCAGACGGCTGCTTGCGTTGTAGCCGAAACGTCGTGAGAATTATTTTATTATGTTTTATTTTTATTATTTTATTATTTCCATGCTACGTGACTTTACCGAAAGAACCAAGAAGATGAATCCCTGCAGTCACGAAAGCTTTAAATCGAAATAAACATAGTTGTTCGTATTTTTTTGGTACACGTACAGCCCCGTTGTCAATCCACTGCTGGATGAGGGCTTCCCCGTGCCGAGTCGGTCCCGGGGGTTTATTTGAGCCAACTTCTCGCTTGTCAGTGCGCGTTGGTGAAGGCGGGGGGGGGCATAGACGCAGGGGCATAGTACAGGACAACAATGGATGTTTTTTCTGCACTGCCATCTGTTCACAACGTAACTCCTACAAATGTTTAAAAAAACAACTATTGCATTCAGGAAGAGCGTCTGACTCGAGTTATATTTTGCGCTGCTAAATGGACACCCAGTACGGTAATATACCTTTACAAGGCTGTTGAGAAACGCGCCGTTTGGGAGTAGCATCCGTGAAGTCCGGAACGGCGCACGAGGGGTTGGGTGACCAGCACAAAGCCCGACCGCCTTTGTCTCCCCTATACTGGCTACTCAATTGAGGGTGAGTTGACCGTGAGCGGGAATCGAACTCGGGTTGCCGGGCTCGTAACGCAGCCACGCAATGACACGCTGACATAACAACAGCGGCCGACATTCGTCACTAAGTGGCGGTGACGTCACCAGAGCGATTGTGCCAGGCTAGGTGCACTTTGAGGCCACGTGAAGTGTCGAAAGCTCGCTGGCAGGTCACAGAACAGACCCAGGTGCCCCATGGGTTGACTGACTGAGATGACGGGCAGATGCACCAGCTGTGCCCTCCACTGTCGCAACTTGCTGCATTTTATCCGCCCTGTGTTCCGCCCGTTGTTGTGAGCATCGCTCCTCTGCCCTCCGTTGTTGTTAGAGGGCGACTGCCTCCAACCGCCTGGTGGCGTCCTTCACGAGCCTCCTCTACAGAGACCGATCTTGACCCCGCTGGTACCATTCATCAGATAGTCCACTCTGACCCACATCCTCCTGTACCACATCGCTCCATCTCCTCCCCATCCCGTGCCGCGCCCGTTTAGCCCCCTCAACCCGGCCAAACAGAAGCTGCTTGGGCATGCGGTGGCTGGGTACGGGGGGGCTACAATGACCCAGCCAACGCAGCATACCTGGCGCGTCCGAGTAGCTATAACTGATGGGACTCTGACCACACACAACAACAACAGCCACCATTCGCCACTAAGTGGCGGTGACGTCACCACGACGCTTGTGCCAGGCCATGTGCACCTTGAGGCCACGTGAAGTGTCGAACGCCCGCTGGCAGGAGGTCACGGGGCAGACCCAGGTGCCACGGGTCGACTGACCGAGATGACCGAGATGACTGGCTGATGCACCACCTGTGCCCCCTACTGTGACAACTCGCTGTGCTTTAGCCACCCGGGGCTCCGCTCGTTGTTGTGAGCGTCGCTCCTCCGCCCTCCGTTGTTGTTGGAGGGCGACTGCCTCCAACTGCCCAGTAGCCACCACACACACACGCACTGACACATACCTTACACACACATTGACCCTTCCACTGATCTCCTCCCCCCACCACCCTTCCCAGCACCCCCCCTCCTTGCCAAAGCTCAGTACCAAATACAACCTGTGGTGACGTTTCGATCCGCACCCCATATAAGGAATCTCCCCCCAACGTTCCTCGCTTTCTCACTCTCGCCCCCCCCCGCCACCGCCGTCTTGCCCTAAGCGCACTAACAAATCCAACTCCATCGCTTACCCCCCCCCCACCACCTCTGTCACTCTCGCCGCCTTTGTCTAAGCGCACTGCGAAATACAATCGTCAGTGACGTCACGCTCCACCCCCCCCCCCTATATAAGAGACCTCCCCCACCCCATACGCGGCCGCCCGCGACGATGGCGGAGCATCAGCAGAGCGCAGGGAGACGTGAGGATCCGTGACCCCTTCCCCACGCACATCGCCTCCCTCCCGGTCTTTCTCCTCGTCCTCGCAGGTAACCACGCAATGCCGGTCGCGGCGGTGCGGACGGGCAGGAGGTCTCGCGGCCCTCCTCGTACGTGAAATTATCGCCACAACCGCCCCCCCCACCCCCTACCCCCCCCTCCGACTGGGCGGGGTGGGCGTGGGCCACCGCGGTTGGACGGCTCTCCGCGCAGCCAGAGCCCGCCGGACGTCTAGGAAAGGCGTAAGGCTGCGGTCGAGGCCTACTTTCTTCGGTCTCCGGTTTTCGAAGGCGGCGGCGGCGGCCGCTGCGTTTTTGGGAGTCGTCGCCGATATCGAAGCTCGCTGCGTTTGTGCGCGACAGGGAAACTGTTAACTGGCCGTGCCCCACCGCGGGATAATGGTTTATTAGCTTTGATGAAGCGGCTCTAAAGAAGGGATCGGTGTGGAGGGGGGGGGGTACGCGATGGAGGTGGTTCGGCTGCTACTGTACCAGTTAATGATCGTTTCGCGTCCGTCGGCGTGCCGACTCTTGGCCACCACGACGGAATATACAAAGCTCGCTGGGTTGTGTTGCTGTTGGCAAACGATACGACGGACACTGACATTTGCTCAGACGCACAAACACCGCCCCCCCCGTACGACGATTTGCACGTACGGCATAAAACGACCATGCCGCGCCCGTCCGGGCTACGGTCTCTCTCTCTGCCGTCTCGCCGCCGCACGTGTTGCGAGCCCAGTCCCCTCCCCGCACGTGTTGCGAGCCCAGTCCCCCCTCCGCACGTGTTGCGAGCCCACAGTCCCCTCTCCGCACGTGTTGCGAGCCCACAGTCCCCTCTCCGCACGTGTTGCGAGCCCGCGCAGTCCCCTCTCCGCACGTGTTGCGAGCCCACAGTCCCCTCTCCGCACGTGTTGCGAGCCCGCGCAGTCCCCTCTCCGCACGTGTTGCGAGCCCACAGTCCCCTCTCCGCACGTGTTGCGAGCCCACAGTCCCCTCTCCGCACGTGTTGCGAGCCCACAGTCCCCTCTCCGCACGTGTTGCGAGCCCACAGTCCCCTCTCCGCACGTGTTGCGAGCCCGCGCAGTCCCCTCTCCGCACGTGTTGCGAGCCCACAGTCCCCTCTCCGCACGTGTTGCGAGCCCGCAGTCCGCTCTCCGCACGTGTTGCGAGCCCAGTCCCCTCTCCGCACGTGTTGCGAGCCCAGTCCCCTCTCCGCACGTGTTGCGAGCCCACAGTCCCCTCTCCGCACGTGTTGCGAGCCCGCGCAGTCCCCTCTCCGCACGTGTTGCGAGCCCGCGCAGTCCCCTCTCCGCACGTGTTGCGAGCCCGCAGTCCCCTCTCCGCACGTGTTGCGAGCCCACAGTCCCCTCTCCGCACGTGTTGCGAGCCCACAGTCCCCTCTCCGCACGTGTTGCGAGCCCAGTCCCCTCTCCGCACGTGTTGCGAGCCCAGTCCCCTCTCCGCACGTGTTGCGAGCCCAGTCCCCTCTCCGCACGTGTTGCGAGCCCCAGTCCCCTCTCCGCACGTGTTGCGAGCCCACAGTCCCCTCTCCGCACGTGTTGCGAGCCCGCGCAGTCCCCTCTCCGCACGTGTTGCGAGCCCGCGCAGTCCCCTCTCCGCACGTGTTGCGAGCCCGCGCAGTCCCCTCTCCGCACGTGTTGCGAGCCCGCGCAGTCCCCTCTCCGCACGTGTTGCGAGCCCGCGCAGTCCCCTCTCCGCACGTGTTGCGAGCCCGCGCAGTCCCCTCTCCGCACGTGTTGCGAGCCCGCGCAGTCCCCTCTCCGCACGTGTTGCGAGCCCGCGCAGTCCCCTCTCCGCACGTGTTGCGAGCCCGCGCAGTCCCCTCTCCGCACGTGTTGCGAGCCCGCGCAGTCCCCTCTCCGCACGTGTTGCGAGCCCGCGCAGTCCCCTCTCCGCACGTGTTGCGAGCCCGCCCAGTCCCCTCTCCGCACGTGTTGCGAGCCCACGGTCCCCTCTCCGCACGTGTTGCGAGCCCTCGGTCCCCTCTCCGCACGTGTTGCGAGCCCACGGTCCCCTCTCCGCACGTGTTGCGAGCCCACGGTCCCCTCTCCGCACGTGTTGCGAGCCCTCGGTCCCCTCTCCGCACGTGTTGCGAGCCCTCGGTCCCCTCTCCGCACGTGTTGCGAGCCCTCGGTCCCCTCTCCGCACGTGTTGCGAGCCCTCGGTCCCCTCTCCGCACGTGTTGCGAGCCCTCGGTCCCCTCTCCGCACGTGTTGCGAGCCCACGGTCCCCTCTCCGCACGTGTTGCGAGCCCGAGCCGTCCCCTCTCTGCACGTGTTGTGAGCCCAGTCCCCTCTCCGCACGTGTTGCGAGCCCACACAGTCCCCTCTCCGCACGTGTTGCGAGCCCACACAGTCCCCTCTCCGCACGTGTTGCGAGCCCACACAGTCCCCTCTCCGCACGTGTTGCGAGCCCACACAGTCCCCTCTCCGCACGTGTTGCGAGCCCACACAGTCCCCTCTCCGCACGTGTTGCGAGCCCGAGCCGTCCCCTCTCCGCACGTGTTGCGAGCCCACACAGTCCCCTCTCCGCACGTGTTGCGAGCCCACACAGTCCCCTCTCCGCACGTGTTGCGAGCCCACACAGTCCCCTCTCCGCACGTGTTGCGAGCCCACAGTCCCCTCTCCGCACGTGTTGCGAGCCCACACAGTCCCCTCTCCGCACGTGTTGCGAGCCCACACAGTCCCCTCTCCGCACGTGTTGCGAGCCCACACAGTCCCCCCACACAGTCCCCCCTCCGCACGTGTTGCGAGCCCAGTCTCCAGGATTTCTAGCAAAGCTTCTAGCCGTGGCACCACCACGACTCGCTACTCCCACACTACTGCAGCGATACAATAAGCCCATTCGTCATTACCACGCGCGGCGATCAATTCTTATGAATGTATCGATGAACGTCTGCAGTTTTTTTTCTTAAATCTTTGAAGTTGCGTTTTAAAGATCACAGATGACGATCCGTGCCGGGTAAGTTTTTGTTCGGAGGCTCGCGGTATTTCTAGTGACGGCTGTGGCGGGCTCACTGCATCACCAAACCTCCACCCCCCTTGCTTCACAGTTGCACTATCGCCTGTACGTAACGAAGTGTGCATGCAGATTTGTTCTTTTTAAGAACCCCCCCCCCCTCCCCAGGTCTACTCAGCCTTGATTAAGTGCCTGGCACGGTAGGGGGGGGGGCACAGGTGGTGCATCGGCCAGGCCATCTCAGTCGGTCAACCCATGGCACCTGGGTCTGTCCCGTGACCTCCTGCCAGCGGGCTTTCGACACTTCACGTGGCACTTAAAGGGCACCTAGCCTGGCACAAGCGCCGTGGTGACGTCACCGCTAACTAGTGGCGACTGGCGGCTGTTGTTTGTGTGTAAACATCAACATCTGGGGAGACGGAGGCGGCCGAGCGTGATTATGTAGGGGTGGGGGGCTTATGTTCTATGTATGTCATTTGTGCAATGTGTCTGTTTCGCGTGTTGTGTGGAATGTGGTGAACCTTGGGCAGAGGGGAGAGATTGTACACAAGTTGCCCTACAAGTTGCCTGTGTGTGTGGGTTAACGCGAGTGTGCAAAGTTTGCAGAGGTGGTGTAAAAAAAGTGTCTCGGTGTGGGGTTTCCTTTTTTGAAGGTTGAGGACAACGGTCTGTCTGTTACGGGGACGTCCACGTTTTAACGCGTTAAGATACAACAAAGACGACAACGCACCTCTTACACTTGTCAATAAAGCTGCGACCCTTAAAATAAAAAAGTAGATGATGGTCGACGTTTCAGGCAGTTGCCCTCGTGCGTGGCGCAAAAGTATGAATGGTGTGAGAAGACGCGGGATAAGTGCTAAGTGTGCGCATTTTAAATCTGTGTGGCTATCATTGTTTTATGAGATGAGTTAAGGTTGCATGCGGGGAGTGCAGCAAAATTAAATAATTTGTTTCCATAAGATAAATGTGGCGACAAAACGGGTGTGTGTGTGCGAGGGCACGTGATTAGTTTGGAAGTGCCCAGATGTCAACTTTGCACGTGGTGGGTTCCTCCGTGTGTTTATGGGGAGCGATGGTGGAGCAGTTGGTGCGCTGCAATGCGAACCCGGCGACCAGAGTTCGGTTTCCGCTCACGGCGAACACCGGTGACTATCTGACTCTGTCCTGGGCCTCCCCGAGGTCGAGTCTGCCTCGAGTACCTGGCACGGTGTGTAAACATCGCCACTAGGGAGACAAAGGCCGCCTGTGTGTGGTGCTGGCCTCCCACACTCCCTCGTGAGCCGTGCCGGCCTTCATAGGTGCTCGCTAACAGCACTTGCCCCAACAGTTTGTTAAGGCTACACGGGGGGATCATTACGGGAAAGTTCGAACAGATTAATAAGAGACCATGTCGGCATGATAACCTCCTACAGAGATAGTGTCAACAAGTGTGTGTTGCAGGTATACAACTTATGGGACTCCTTGGTTTTTATAAGGTACACTTACCAAGTTACATGCTTGAAAGTTCACATCCCCCACTTGCATTAAGACACTTTTTGATCCGTACATGTGTGGAAATATATTTATTTCCTTAATGAAGTGGGAAAAAATGCAAATGCTCTAATCAAATATCTCAGAAGCCAAGGAGGGGGGGGGGGGTTGAACCTGGATTAGATGGGGGGGGATGGCCACAGTCCTCCAACAGGTTTTCCGTAGGCTGCTTGTTGGGCTCCTTGGTGGGGCAATACAAGGCAGTGCAGCAAAGACCATTGTTGTAATGTACTATACCCCCCTCCACGTTTCTACTCCCCACCTTCAACCTCAACTCACCAGCCCAGCGTGGTGAAGTATGGTTTAATAAATCCCACGACCCACTAGATTGTGTGGAGGGGGCCCTTTGTCCAACAAGTGTGTGACTTGGGGTGCTGTGGTGGGGGTAAGCCTAGTTAAGGCAGTGCTCCAAGTGGCCTGGGTTCCATTCCTGGCAACGATGCAACAACATCCGTGGCAGGTGGTATCTTGAACCTGTGCTGGGTCTCAACAAAGTCTTTGGCCTTGAATGAGTAACCCCCCCCCTGGTGCATCGTCAACGGCAGCGCTGGGCATGTGTGGTGCTGGCCGCGCCACTGGCCCTGTTTGCACTCCTGAGTAGGTGCTCGCTTGACATCACGGTCCTCCGCATCCTTGTAATGTCGAATGGTGCTAGTTTGTGTGCAAATGTAATGTTTATTCATGCATGCAGATTATGACACTACACATTCAAGCTTTTGCATTCTGCTTTGCATAAAGTTGTGCCATCAGTGAACATATGCAATGAATAACAGATTAATGAAAACACCTACGATAGTTCCATTCTGAAGGTCCATTTTTGAAATTGTCTTTTCAATTAAACTGAATAAATTTTAACGATGTTGATTTGCATTCAGGAAAAGCTGCTTCACGCGTTCACTAGACAGATTCTAAGAAACCAGATGGATAGACGGGGACCCACCAGTCAAAACCCCGGGTTCACATCTCGCTTCCTACAGCTGCCTGTTTTAAACCAGGTTCTCCGAATCAGAATATTTTCTACTGTAGAAATCCGATGAGCTATAAAGATGTCCAGTAGGACTTCTCATGTCTACGGAGCAGATGGCTTCAGCCCAGTCACCAATGACGACACCAAAATGAAGAATATTGCAATAAAGTTGGTCCTGCGCTTTTATTTTTAAATAAAATTCCAGCTGTAAAAATATCGGCTTTTGTAGTGCGCTCTTGTACCAGGGTAGGTGTGAAAGTGCCACTTAATACCATGTCGACTCAAGGTTGTCTTGAAGAGACCTTGGGCGGTAGCTCTGTGATGTCCACTTCCGCGAGCGGTTATCTAACAGACTTGCTCTGCGTCCGTTCCGAATGGGGTTCTTCGTCTCCTTGACGTGATGCCGACGGCAAACTCTCGCTACAATTGGTGGAAAATTACAAACTGAAAGAAAAATTCTGGAACACAGCTCTAAGCAATACTGCCTGTTACCATATCGCTCAAATCTTGTCTTGTCTGCACATCCTGCATCGCTGACTGTGGAGGATGTTGCTGTTTGCTATATTCCTGTTGCTGTATGCCCCTGTTCTGCTATGTGCGCGGACTCCTACTTTATGGGTGATATTGGAACGTAAAGTAAATATGTATTGATTTTTCCCTTCCCATCTCCAGGTTGGCAAGCGTTTGTAACGTGCCAAACGCTACCAACCCAGCGCGCCACGACGGGCCGGCGCAGTTCGTGAGCGGTGACGGCGTGGGGGCAGAGCGCCGGCGCCGGCGCTCCCGCTACTGCTGCTGTAGCGCCGGCAGCGGAGGTGGTGGGAGCAGCGGTCGCTGCTGCTGCTGCGGCGGTGGCGCCGGCGTCTGCGATGATGTTTCGCGACCAGGTCGGCGTCCTGGCGACCTGGTTCAAGGGCTGGAACGAGTGCGAGCAAACCGTGGCGCTGCTGTCGCTGCTCAAGCACGTGAGCCGCACGCAGGCGCGCTTCCTGCAGCTCTGCCTGGAGCACTCGCTCGCCGAGTGCGCCGAGATCCACGCCCTGGAGCGCGAGGCCAACGATCCGGGTAAGCGGCGCTAGCCGCCACCGTGGCCTTGGCTCGCGTTGACACCACGCGTGGGCATGGCGCCACATTTGTGCCCGAGTGGCCTTACGAATGACTTGTTCTATGCACAGGTTGTCCTTCCGAAAGAGGCTTTTTTTTTTGTGCGTGTAAACCGGATCTCTATCCGCGATTGCACATGGCAATGTCGTCCCCTACTGTGAACTTGGCAGGATCCTCTTGAAAATGAATCTTGACACTCGGTCAGTGTTTGTGTAAACAAGCATAATGACAATGAAGTTATTTCGACAACTCCGGTCCTTGCTCCTCTGGTCCACCTTTCCGTGCTTTACCACTTGTCGTCTGGTCAAATCCAAATTTGAGTTGCGCAATACTCGCGGCGAATTGCTAATTGTGTGGATCTCAGCAATTTTGTAATCCTGAAGATGGGGTTCTTGTGGCCTTGTACTTTGTGTCCCACTTGTCATCCTTGGTCAATCTACGGCTTTGTGAAGGCCGAAGGCCTCCTTGAGCCATCGCCATATCGCATGCTTGTGATGTAACAGTCCGACCTAGCATCTGCAAACGAGAGCCCGTTTCATGGCCCCCGCACCTCCGAGTAGCCCCAAACCTCCGATTTTTTTTGCACGATTGGCTACGTACATTGCGAAAGAAGTTTCAAATACATACACACCTCTGCAGTGGGCCAATCTTCTTGGGCGCTTTTTCTCCGTTGGCTGCCACTGCCGTTGGTCTCGAGCACGGTTGCGCAACACTCCTCCTAACTGCTTGCCGAATACGCTGCGTGCGATGTAGAGTGCCGATTTTCAAATGGAGATGAAGGCTCCCTACTACACTGATGAGTTGTTTAGAAAGCTAGTCCACGAGCTCGGATACAGTGGACTTGACAGTGCCACCTGAGGGGGGCGTAGATTTGAGTGGTTCCAATTACGTTGTGGTCAATACACCCAATTTGTCAATAAACCATGCTATCGTTAGTTAGAATAGGAGTCTTGTTTAGACTGGAGGAATCCGATGAGCTATGAAGCTCTTTTTTCACATGTCGAGTAGGGCAGCTCTGCAAGTTGCAACAATAAATACAAATAAGTGGTAAGAGTGAAGAAGTAGAGGAAGGTACGCAAGTCATTTACATTAGTCGGTTGCGTTGCACACTCTTATCGTCCGTAATATTTAAATGACTAAATTTGGTTGTCAATTTCCCGCTCTGGCCCATGGACGAATCATCCGCTGGTTGCAACCTGTAACGAATTGACTTGCAACTTAATCTCGCCGAATCATCTCAAAGTATGCTACAGCGAGTTGCTTGCACAGATGGCTGGAGGCATTGAGTTCCAGACTGGTGGTAGCAGAGGAGGTCAAGCGGCCCTCGCACTTCAGCCGATGGTTTGGCTGCGGGTTTCGACCCGAGTCTTGGACCAGTACGTGGTGGAGGGGAGTATTGAGTGAGCTGAGAGAAAGAAGGGAGCTAGATGGGGGGGGCGGGAGGGGGGGATGAGTTCCTCATGGACGATCTTGAAGAATGTGTGCGATCTTGACGTTTGCTCTCAGTTTTGGACTAGGAAGATGTCGTCTCGCACTGGTAGTAACCTCCTGGTTACACCAGCCCACGGGATTATTCTGTCCTTGCGTCGTGCAGGGAGGGGCTGGGTGGGGGGTGGCTGGCTGGGTGGGGAGGGGCTGGGTGGGGAGGGGCTGGGTGGGGAGGGGCTGGGTGGGGAGGGGCTGGGTGGGCCTATACTCAACGTTTAACCTACTCACGCCGGCTTGTGCCCGCCCTCACCGTCGGGCATATTTGCGGAATACACCACGCCGCCGTTGACCCTGGCCATTGACCGAGCAACCCACCGTTCCTACCAGCTCCCTCCGCAGCAGGACAATGTGTTTTACAAGTGCCGGTGACAAGTTGGGCAGCACGGCACTTGTTGAATTTCCCGGGGACGTGTGGCGGCGGCCGAGGGTTTGTACGTGCAAGATAAAGAGCTCCTTTGGTTTTTGGATTCTGCCTGCATCCAAGCTCCCTCGTGTAGGACGGCGAGTTCTGTTTCTCGTGTTTATAATTGGATGCATCATCACCTGGCTCATGTGAGCGGCTTGTATTGAGAGAGGGAACACTTTGTGAATTTTCTGGAATTTTGCAACACGGCATCGGGGCCAAAAGTGACTGCAAGTGGTTTGGTCAGAACAGATTTGTTTGTGTACAAATTTAATGGTCGTAATTGGCTCTCAACTTTGGGTTTTCCCTGTCTTGTCGTGTGTTGCGACACCTTTATTTTTTTGGGCCGTGCCTCTGAATACTGCCTCCCGGGTTAGAGCTACTTTACCCGTCCCGTGTTGTTTGCGTTTTGTTGAAAATGGTGAGGTGGTTTTGGGCAGGCCACATCGCTCTGAGTGAGGGAATAACAGCCGAAGGGAGAAGAACTTGCCTGGGGTACCGCCACTGCGGAGATGGAGTGGTACAACATTTCCATTTCTTCTTTTGCACATAGTTGTGCAGTGTGTTCACTTGAATTTAGAATTTATTTTCGCATCTCTCTCAGTATAGTTTGTTTCCATACGGCTCGCTAAAGTTAATTCCTATAAATGAACTGGCGTGCGGTGCGTGTGTATAAAAAAACTATCGTCACCAAAACGTGAGAGCGGTCTCGTTGTTTGGGCGTTCTTCAGTTTTGCCTTTTCTTTAGTTCGTCCTGGAATAACCCTGGCGGAGCTTTAATTTTATTTTCGTGGCTTAAACGCGAGGCGGCCGCGGTCAATGTCGCTGGAGGATCCTCCCGTCGGTCGCCTGCGGTCCGCATTGGTGCCCTCCGTCACCAGCTGATAAAGAGCCGCTTTGTTTTTGCATCGCTTCCCCCCCTCCCCACCCCCAAGTCGGACTAGGGCTGTTTTTTGAGCCCCTTTGCCAGCTGCTGCTCGTGGAACTTTGTCGTTGCTCCAAACCAGAGGGCTGAGGAATTGAACGGCAATGACTGGTTTGTTACGGCCGCGTCGGTTTTCCGCCGTTGTGCCACGTAGCCCTTGGTGTGTACTCCTGCGGGTCGTGCCGCGTGTTCGCGATGCCTGACGTTTCATTCCATATGCCGGGAGCTTCGTTCGGTTCTTGAGATGCTGATGTGTCGAAACCGCTCCAGAGTTGTTTTTCTTTTTTCGGACTAACGGTTCAAGTTTGCCTTGCCCTGTTGATGAGTCACCGATTGTCGAAACCACTGCAGAGTTCGCTTTATTTGAACCAATGCTGCTAAAATTACATGCTCAACATAGGCCATGTGGCTAATTGGAATTGTGAAAAAATAAAATACTATTTGTATTGTGGAGGGACTTATATGGAGGTGGGTGGGTCTTATGTGGTTGTGGGAATGAAACTGCCAAACTGGAGGTAATCAATGATGAGATTCCTCCTTCAACTAATCAGGTCAATAGTGTAGCGCGTGGACCCCTGTGCCACCACCCCTCCCTCCCCTTAACGTCTGTCTTGCCTTTTAAAAAACAACTTGTGAGCAGCTCATCGGCTTGCCTCTAATTTATCCTTGTTTGGAAAGGACTTTTCATTTTTAATAATCAAAATTAGTGCACTTTGTCTACATCGCGATTCCACCCCCCCCACGGTCAGTCTAGAAACTCTCCCCCGGGAGGGGCTGGTGGAGGGGGGGGGGTCAAGCCGCCATGCTTACTGCGGATTTCACAACAAAGAGTTCAAACGGTCGCAGGCGGCCAAGTGGCGGTCATGGCCCCTCTCCACGCGAGAGCCGCTCGCTCGCAGCTTGCCGTGCCAATCCACGTCGCACGCCGCCAACGTGGTTTTTTTTGGCGTCCCGCGCCGGGCGCTTGTGTGGCAACCCCCGCGGTTGCTGCCCGAGCACGGCGGGGTTCCGCCGATTTCCAGGTGACGGCGCGTGAAGGCTGTGACCAAACACAGTGGGGTGGGGTGGGCAATTTTCGGTCAATTTTCTACCACCGGCAATAACCGCCGGCATTGTGTTTTTCGCTGAAACTATGGCAACTTTGCACGGCGGTGCCCGTGTAGTTGTCTAGCAAATGAGAACTGTTACGTTTTGTTTAACCAGGTGAGACCTCGACCAGGATTCTCCTTTGTCGTTCGGGGTGTGCGTTAGTCGTGTCAGTGTGGGTGGGGGGGGGGCAATGATTGCTGCTATTGGTGCATAATCCTACTTAAGTAAATTTGCAGAATTTTCCAACTTTGCATATTTGTCGCCGCATGCTGGCACGCTGGCCTGCTCTCGCGAATGACGTCACGGGATCTTTAACATCCAGTGCGAAGCAGACGGCACGTAGCAATGCAGTTAATACACACGCGGCGGTAATGATCGGGGAGGTCGCTCGATTCGAACCGCGAGCCTCCACACTAAGCGGCGACACTGCGACCGCTGGGCCGCGTCCAGCGGTGATTGTCGTCAAGTGTCTCCCGACCGGTGATGTTGCTCTGCATGATACAAAACTTAGGGGTATTCACACCCATTCATTGTGTGAGTCTGACGGGAGTGCCATTCCATTTGCACACGAATGGAGGTAAGGATGGAATTGGGTTTGATTCAAGCAACAATTCTTTAAAACTTTTTATTTTGCCAGGTAAGGCCCACTGAGCTATACAGCTATTTTTCAGAAGCGACCTGCCCACAAATGATAGCTCGCCGAAGTGGGTCGCTTATCACGTGGAAATTGTATATCGCAGCCAAATGCTCCAAACGCACGTTTCTATAATGTGGAGGGGGGGGGGGGGGAACCCAGTGGGCCTGGAGAAAAATGCACGCGGCCACGGGGACACGCAAGCCCCAAATATACAGCAGCCGTCCAGGGTCTGGATCGAACCAACGACCTCCGTTGTACTTTGCGCTACAATGGTGCGACCAACGGCGGTTTACGGCAGCTGCTGCCGATTGACGGTGACACGGCACGACGCGGCCTAAAGTAAATAATGACTTTTGGCCGGGAACGGGGGGATTCTCCCGAAAAAGTTCCGCTGATAATCTTTTTCTATTTTGCCACTT